GTACTATCGTCGACTTTTATCTAACACATCCAAATATTTAATCTAACTGGTAATAATGATAAATTATATTTCTTATTAATGATACTTAATAATACAAGTTTGTTGTATTACAAATATTTATTAAGTATTGGTTGCACGTAAAACGATATATAATATTTTATTATAGGAATTCGTATTATAAAGTAAGTATTTCTTATTTTTTAGATTGAATTATAAATTAAGTGATGGTTTATATAGTAATAAACTATTTATTTATAACGGAAACTTATATTTTTAGCGCTCATTTATCAAATCGATCAATTTGACAGGACAAAATGTAGAGAAAATTCATCAAGTTATATCTACATTGTCGTATCATTTATTATTGAACGGTAGTAGAAATTGTTTTCATTTACTAATATTAAGCTTAATTGTCAATGAAATTTATTATGAATATAAAAAGTTCAGTATCAATTAAGTGCTTTGATAATAAAATTGTTCAAAATTCTAAAAATACTATTAATCGTTTTAATCTTTGAATTACTCACTTATAAATAATTTTTGCAATTTTACACGTATACTTGGTTCGTTAATCATCAGAAATGCCTTCAATTTTCATCGATAAGAGGTTTACGTCATAAAATCATGAGTGATAAAGATAAACGACATGGATTTTAGGCAGAAATTATTACAAAATTTAATCAAAAATGAATTACGGTTTTCTAAAGATGCCGCTAATTATGAACTGACTTTCTTTCGATATATACGGAAGAATACGCTTCCGTTTTCCCTACCTCTCCCAAGAAATCGATGAACGAATCGACGGGGTGCGAACCCAGTCCCGGGCTCGACGAGCTGCCCGCGACTTCGATCGTAATTAACTGGGGCTCGATTAAAGCTGGCCATCGATTAAGTCACACCTCGAATTACACCTCATTCGACTGCTATCAAAAATCTTAGAAAAACATTTTTTCTAATTTTCCCTTTCTTATTTTATCAATAGACACTCTTTTGATGAATTTTCTTTCAATTTTTTTTAAACATTTCTTTAATCAAATCAATTTCATTAAAAATGATATTTTTTGTTTATTTGTAATCTTACATAACTTTTAGTTAAATTAAATTAAATAACATTTTAGAGACAATAATCGAATTTTGTTTTACTTGTTTGTCAAAGAACTGAGGTATGATGTAAAAATAACTGTAATATTTTGTTGAAATAAATAGAATATTATTTAATTATTTAAAAAATCGTAATTCGTGTCTTTTATTGTCTTATTACTCTTTCTTTTATGGATTCGAGTCATCTCTCTACTAATACTTTCTCACTCTATTCAATACTACCAAAAAGGTCACGTGTCTTTTTACCGTGTTTTTGGAGTCAACAACACACGGCTTTTGTTTTTTATTTTTCCGGACGAATTATCCATGTTACTAACCATACCCACGTTGTTTGACTTTAGTGATCGGCTCAGAATTATTAATCCAATATAGTAGAAATAGAAACGTGTTTATTTTAGGCACATAAGAATGATGATCCAACGTGACTGAGCCTTTGACTAATTAGTATTTTATATAAATTCTTTAACAAATTGATTGTGTAAAACAACAAACGAAAGAGTATTTATGAAAGAAGATGAAACGAAGGCAAATCATACCTTTACATTACTTTAACCATGGACTGGCCCATTATTCTGGGCGTGCGTAGTCTGAAAGAAAAGCACTAGTTGGTTTTCCAGTAAAACCATTCATTTCTTTGACTATTTATCGTACCGCAAAGGCATCTCACTTTCTTTGCTTTCATCGAAATCAAAAAGCATTGACGACGCCCTACCTTTTAACGAATCTCATCCCGTATTTCACTTCATCTGTTTGACTTTGCGTTCGCACTGATTTCCAGCTGCGCATAAACGATGTTCAACGTTATTGGAATACATGTCTCGGTAGCAGCAGCAGGAGGACGCTAGTAATTATTGGAGATTCCTTTATACGTAGTTCAATCCACCTAGCGTTCCTCTTTTTAATAGGAAAACCATAGAATATTGGAAAATATAACGTACTTTAGATATATTGTTTCTCTATTAATCGCGTCGTCCAGCTTTTAGGGATCTCTATTGAAATGAAATTTAATATTATGATGAGAGAAAATTCGAGTGTGAGAAGAACTTTTAGAATGTGCGAAGTTGTTGGTTAGATAATATTATTTTTCTCGCTTACTGTTGTCGGCTGTACTTTTTTACGAGCATCACACATCCGTTTCTCTTATTCATCTCGTTCGTTTCGAGGTACACTCGTAACTCAGCGAAAAGAAAAGCAAGAAGCGAGGGAACGTAAAGAAGAAGAAGAAGAAGAAGAAGAACAAAAAGAAAAAGAAGAAAAAGAAGAAAACGAGACGAGTTGCAGGAGCACCGGACGAGTACCCATTGGCAAAGTATTGTCCATAGAAATTCCCCTCTCCTTGCAGTATACTGAAATTAATTGGCACAAAATTAAACCGGTTCTTCAGTACCTCTTTCTGCGGTCGGATGAAAAGAGATAAATAAAAATCAAACTACGATTCAGAATGCTACGAATCAGAGAATTAATCTGCCAATGTAGACCGCAAAGGGAAAACGATCGAGATATCGGTAAGTAATATCGATTGCTACTTCTCTTCAAACAGAATTGGAACGTCGAAAGCTCATGACTCTTTACCGTTGAGATGTATACCAAATTTCTTTAATTATCAATGTGACGATTGCATAAAAAATGTCATCATTTACCTAAAGGTATTAATTAAATTTACAAATTATGATAATTTGTTAATTTGAATAATCAACTATTATACTCGGTTACATTATAAAACTTTCATTGTACTATCGATTGACGTAGTATTGTTAAAGAGACAATATTTTTTATTTGTTACAAAATGTATATTTATTCACAATAAAAAGCTAACGACGTTTCGTTCCTAATATTAATTGACATTCGTATATCAAATTTTCACATATGTTAGCTCGCATTAGAAATATAAAAAAAAAAAAAATAAATACGATACTTTTGATGCTTTCGTTACTGGTTTCTTCACTATTTTTATTTTCTTCTTCGTTAAATAATAGAAAATAACGACGCAAAAAGAGGTTCAGCTCTTATCTCGATAGCCTACATTTTATGTTTTTTGCTTTTATTCTTGCAAAGTGAAATTCAAGATTTGAAATTCTTTTCGAAATTTTTTTTTATCTTTCTTTCTCTATCTCTTTCTATTCTCGATCGTGCCTGTGCATCGTTATTGGCTCATTATACTTGTCTAAATTCAGACACTATTTTTTTCGATACTATGCTAAATTTGATGTCATAAATTTGTTCAGAACGAGGCGTAAGATACTTTCTATGTCCTCAAAAAAATTTTTCTAATTTTTCTTCTTCGTTTCATTCTTCCTAAGTTTAACATATTCGTTTCCGGGATACAATGGTGAACGCATTGTTCGTATCAAACAGACCCCAAAGCTCGTCTATTCTTTTTCCTTTCTGTTTAAAACGTATTCGCCACACACGACTTCCTATGAATCTTCGAAAACACTTTTTTAACATCCAAAAAGTAGCCCGTAATCGGAAATATTCTATTGTGAAGCTTTAGAGAGTACCCTTTAGAAAGTTAATTAAATCTGTTCTATTATTAGGATCACACTTCTTATCTTTTTATTCTCGAGAATTTAAATATTCTAATTCATTGAGAAAAAATTCATGTGTTTGTGGGATGGATAAATCATATTTTATTCGTATTATAAATAATTATTTAGTTATTAAACTTGACATGGTATACATAACTTACAGAAAACTAGTTATTTCTTATCACGCTTTTCTCCTGATAAGGGAAATTATGCGATCGTTTCACTAAATGCTTCAATATATCGCATATGTAAATACTTTTTACTTTAGATATCAAGAAAAAAAAGAAGGAGAAATAGACAGAGAAAGAAAGAGAGAGAGAGTGAAAGAAAAAGACACTATACAATTTAACACTAACAATAAATGTACTACAATTAGTCAAGTGACACCTTATAAATTTTTAATTAACTATCTGCATCTAATATTGTTACTTTTCTTCATTCAACTTTACGACAATTAAAATTAGAAATATTACTTTGTTCTTATTAAAAAATGGTTTTATTTATTTTTTAGGCCAATAACTAATTGACTATTATTTGCATTCAATTGTAACTAAATATAACTCTTGTCAAATATCGAACATTTAACTGATTATATATAAGAATAAGTTATAACATTTTTATTAAATAACGGTAAGAGTTTAATGTTGAAAAAACGTTCCGACAATCGAGAATCCTAATATCTATGTGAACATATGAAAAATTTCATTATTCTAAAGCATAATGAAAAAAAGTCACTATTTAATTTCTTTTCATTCCTAAATGAAATTTTCCGAATACTAAGTCTGATAATAGGATTTTATGAGAAAAATTTCCGGATTCTGCATTCTACGTTCTCCCAGCGGGTTTTCGCTTTTTTTTTTTCTTCATAAACTCCATCAGTCGCTTACGAAGCCTTGTGTTTTACTGAAAATTTCAAGCGATTATTTCGTGCTCTAACTAGACATTCTACAACTCGTGCGTGTAACGAAATGAACATTTAAAGGATATGAAAAGTCTTTTTATCTAAATTATAACAACTAGTACAATCTGCCTTATAGCACACTATACACGTAAAAATATAATATGAAGTGTAATAATAAAATTTATTATATTTTATCCAAAGTTAGTTATATATGATATATAGGTTATATAGGTATATGATAATTTGTCTTTTTTTATTGAGAATAATCTTAATAGTTAAATACTCGATAAATAATGTATTTGATTTTAATTGAAACTATAAATAAATAAATTCGTGTAAGTATACTAAAAACATACTTGGTAGGAACTCACGTTAGTTATTAATTTTAAATAAAAAGAAACGTTTGCAAAAGAACTTTGAATATTCCTTATCGAATATGCTAATGAATGTAAGGCCCACGTTCCATTTAGGTAAAGTGTCATGTGTCAAGACCCTGAAACCTCCTTCGGAACAGGAAGAACGCCGCAAAGACGAGTTCGAGCAAACTCGAACCTTACGATTTCTGGGACAAGAGGCTACATCGGCAAGTAAACGAAAAAAACATTTAAAAAACGCATTCCTGTACAAGCACAATCCACCCAAAGCATAAGTAAGTTTCAAAATCACAAATTAAAAAAAATTGTTCACTTATAAAATAACATTGACATTTATAATCGAATTGAAACAATGGAAGTGAAATAATTTTGATTTTGCTAAGATTTTAATTCTTATTATATAAAATATGTATTTATTTCTATTAAACTATTATCGTATACTCTGTTGTAATTTTATTATAATTTTATGCTGAGTTTATTGAGATACTCTAAATATTCATATTAATTTATAAATACATGCATTTTAATTTTATTTCTATTTGATAAAATGACAATATTTAATTAAAATATTTGTAAATAAAAATATATATCGAATATTTATATGTATGTGCATACGCGTATACATGATATTTAATGTAAATAAAAATATAAATGATGTAGAAAAATGTATAATACCTATAATAGGAACATATCCAAACACTGGTCTGGTCTAAAGCTTATACAAATGACGACTAACCATGAAAGGTTAAGTTTATCGAAAGAATATTCTCTCAGTCATTTAATGTTTTATTTATACATACAAACTTCCCTCACTTCTCAACCGGCGTCTCTATTCCAATGTTATTGTTTTTATTCTATTAAGAATCTCTTTGTCGAATTTGTAAACACATTGACTTTCGTGTTCGTTGAGAAGGTGATCAGGTATCCGTTCAGTGTAGCTGTTTTTATACTCGGTCTTCTTTAAACAACGAGAAACGTAAAAACGAAATTAGATAAGTTAAAAATTTATTTCTCGTATACATATGCGTGCTTTATTGCTATATGAATAATATGCATATGTGGGAATGTATATATACAGCTGACGAATGATATATAATATGTGCTTACGTATATATGTTTGCGTTGAATTGTATAATTTAGTTAAATCGTAGAAACCCGAATAAATAGATGTTTTTCGGAAATCATATAAAAAAAATTTTACTATACACTAAAACTAATATTTTTACGAAATAAGAAGATAATATGAATTCACAAGAGTCGAGTAGTTATAATAGTATAAGATTGAAATTTGATCATAAGTATAAAAAGCAACAACACGACTAACTGAAAATCTGTTCTCGAGTAAAGAAAAAGATAAAAATAGATTTATGAGCACTCATTGATTACGTTTATTTTTGTTTTTATAGTTTTCGAAGAAAATGTAATTTAATCTCCTAAATCAATAGGAAAACTATATCTCGTGATTAAATAAGCCTTAAAACGAAGAAACACATATTTTCTATCTCTGGATTTGCAACAATACAATATAGACAAATATTGAAACAAAATTGAAGAATATTTTTGTTATACTTTTAATGAAATTTCAATTTCATGCTTTAATTACTCACAGTTCTTGAATTTATACACTACCTAATTGAAGTATATAATTCTGCCTTCTTTTATACTTAAATGGGTCAGTTTATTTATTTCATCTAATAGCTATTTATTTCATAAATTCACGCCAACATATATATTATAAATAAAAGTGCTGTTCTTGAATATTTTAAATCCGTATGTGAAATTTCTGAACAACTAAATATTTCTGTATAAACACGTATAACAATCATCTGAAAACATTCTAAAACAATGATCAATCAAGATGTTTCTCTTCTCTAAACATTAGTAAAGGAACAAATATCTGCAATTGACATTGGCCAGTTACCGTCAAAGCGCAAGAGAGATAGATCGTTAGCTGGCTTGAAGCTCGTACAAACTAATGAATCATTAGCGTCCCTATTAGCCCATTAACGTCTTTTAACCCTTGGGGGTCTGTTCCATATCCGGTTGGCCAAAGCAGACGGGAGCAGATGATATGGACTGGCTGCACTTGCGTCATTTATATGCGTGTAACGTTCGTAATGTTAACCAGACTAACGTATAGCAACTTCATACGATCTACCAAGATGATTAATTTTCATTCTCTGATGCTATGTTGGTTCTATTAATCAGCAATGTCTACTTTTGTCGTCGTTAAGAAAATATTTGCTTTCGTTACTTCAAGTAGAATGAGAATATCTTTTGTGAAATGAATCAAATTCTATTTCTTTTTCTTTTTCTTCTTCTTTATAGATCATCTTTCACGATTAAAAAACATTTTTCTCCTTATGCGTATCTAGTTAGCATATCTAGTGAAATTCTTTGCCAAGTTTTTTTTAATGAATTTGTCTACATCTTTCTTTGATTTTAAAAACTAACGAGACCACATTTGTCAGAAATTTTGGAATAACGTAGAAAGATATTTTATATGATCATAATCGTACTCGCTTTGTGACTGTCATAATTTTAAAATGTACGCATTGGATTATTATCTTTTCCCTAAAGTACTCGACCTTCTTAGAATTCCAATATTCCTTTTACCCACGTAACTTTATATCATTCTTTCAGTTACTCGAAAGCTATCATTAATAAAAGAGACCTCCTTAACTTTTCGTCTCTCGTATCGATTTCTTGCTATGTGTGCACATTTGAGAAAGCTTGTTATTGTTCTCAAAAAGTGATAAGCCGCGTACGTGAAACGTGATCGGCATGCTCCATAAATTGCATTTGTAATAGCCTTGTGCAACGATTACGCATGTAATATTCGACATGTTAAAAAATTCTACACTTACAATCGCATGGACAATGAGCCATTAAATAAAAAAATTTTACAACTTTAAACATATAAAAAAGAAATATTCACAAGTTCACGTTATTCGCTATTTACACTTTTGTTATAGTGAAATGTTTGTATAATAATAAACAAATGATTATTTAAAAATTATTCTCGTTTACATTTTTATGCTCTGACGTGTTGCACATGATTATTATTTTCCACGATCTTCTGGAGTCTACTATTCGATAGTAATCATTGAGAGAGCTTGAATGAGATCGTAAACATTGACCTTCTTGAGTGCGACTAGCAACGATGAGGTGACGTCATCAAATAAATTCAATTCGTAGTGTCACGATTTACTACTACGATGATGACTACGAACGGGTCAAAAAGACGTTGACACAGGAAGTAATTAAATTTTCTTTATATTTTCGTAATTTTTTCTAATTATTATCCTTAGCTGTTTTTTTATTTTGTTTATTTTTTTTGTTTATGAAAAGTTTTAACATTAAAAAAAAAATGAGAATTTGCGTAGGGTCTTTGTTTTAAAATTATCTTCTTCTAAAATTGGTATCGTTAAATGTTCGAAACTTTTGTTTTAACGAGATTCGTTAGATCGAGGATTTCACTTGACAAGAAAACTTTGATCTCTCGTAGGACCAAAATTTTAATCCATAATCTGTAAAACACCACGTGGACGACAAAACAAGTCATCCAACTCGTACCTCCAATTTCAAGTTTTCAAGAATAAAGTTTGTTTGTTCTTTCTACCAATCGATCGTTATCTTTATATTGCTCTTTATCTTCACATGTTTATCCTTCTTCTTCGTATCTAATATTATTTTCCTGTTTTCAACGAATTCATTGTTCCAAGTTTATTCGTATCTAATATTTGTGATGAAATCACTGAATGGAATATTCTTCAATCATGAAGATTGTATTAACGCGATCAATCTTAAGAAGAAACAATTTTCTTACAAACCTGACACAACATAAGATATGACACAAATTTTCTCTCATCAATTTATAACATGGAACTAAAAACATGAGAGAAAGCGCGTTGATTTAAACATTAAAATATTAGACAAAATGTATCGTAAAAAATGACTGAACATTACTATAATGTTCCCAGAAATAACGAAAATTCAATAATAATAGTTCACAGCCAGGGAATATAATAAATGATAATAATTTCCCGTGTAAAAATGAATTCCAATAGAATTTGATATAATTTCTATTATTCAATGCTGACTAAAACATCGATCGATGAGGCAGAAAGAATATGAATATTCTAGTTGCGTTCTCACGCGTTAGCTTATTCATTGACAAAACCACTCTCGATCGAGTCAGTGCATATCTCGTTTGCATTTCTCGTATATGCATTGCGAGAAAGAAATTACGTATACGAACACGTGTCGTTATGTCGCATAACATCTAATGCATATATGTGTATGTAAATGCAAATAGTATGTAAATACGTATATACTCATTCGATGGATGGATTAGATTAATCGACTTCAATGTTGGTCCCTCGGAAGGTAAGACGTGACATCAGAATTTCTGAGAAGTAAACTCTTCGCTTGTGTTCACATTTTGCATTTACGACGCACTTGGAATATTTATACACGAAGAGATAATAATGCTTGTATTTTTCTCTCTCTCTTTCTGTGTGTGTGTACATATATATAGATGTATGGTTGTGTAGTTCTGATGTACACTACATGTATACGGTTGTTATTCCCCGACGAAAGATTTTCCCGCGCTTCGAAGGCCAACAAGATAAAGATAACTAGGAATAATGACGGTCAAAAGTTACGAAGGACGACAAAAAACAAGCTGAGATTATAAAATTACGGATATTATAGCGCTGAGAAATTGTTTTTATGACGAGGACAACGACTAACAAGATGGCTGTTGAGCCATGCTTTGAAACGTGCTTGGCCAACTATTCGATTTCTACAATGACTATCAACTCCCTTTGTCGTTCGACTATAACGAGATCCGATGACTAAGAGGCTGCAAAGACGGAAGCAAATCATCAGCTCTGAATTGATATCGTGCACATCCTTAGAGATCTACGCGCTCTTATCTCTTCCAGTCGATTTCTTTCTCACGTTGCGTCAGATTTATTCAAACATTGATACCTTTCTTTATTTCCATAAAATTCAGAGAATACTAAAATTCTCTGAAATTTACCGCATCGCACGTATATATGAGCCATTTATTTACCACATCGATTAATTCCAAAAAAAAAAAATATATAAACAAAATTGATAAAGTAATAATATTGCCTTATCATTTTTTATTATATGGCTATAAAAATTATACTAATTTAATACTATTATGTGCCTAATCATT